ATGTTTATTTATATTAATATAATTTTTTATATTATATTTGAACTAGGAAAAATATTCAAAAAAAGTTTCTTAATATACAATAAATTTATGATATTTAACGATAAATAATAAATAATTTATTTCATAAAATGATAAGTAAAATTATTTATTAGAAAGATATTAATTTAGTAATTTAAATGGAAATACATTAATTTATTTTTTATATTAAATATTTTATGAAATTTAAAAATAGATTTTTTTCTAAATAATCTTAAAAAACAATTTTAAAATAATTTAAAAATTTTTTAAAAATAAGTGAGATCTACTTTTTAATTAAGTAATTTTATATCAACATAAAATAACAAGGATAAAATTCAAAAAATAATAATTATAAATGTATATTCGAATTAACAATAAAATAAAATGTTTTTTTAAATAAATATAAAATCAAATATAATATTACTTTTAATCTAAATAATATTAAAAGTCAAGTTCTTTGAATTTCAGGTATAGCTATTCAAAGCTAAATAAAATATTTTTCAGAATAAATAGTAAATATATTTTGTTATTTATTATTTATTATTATTTTATTTTATTTATTGTTATTTATTATTTTTATTATTATTTAAATATGCACATTATTTTAAAAATGAAACATTTTATTTGATAGTAATTTTTTTGTAATAGTAATTTATTTGATAGTAAATTTTTAAAATAGTATTATATTATTATATAGTTATTTATATTATTAATATATTTGAAGAATATTAAGAATATTTGTATTTTATATTGATATTTTGATTTTATTTATCTTAATTTATTTCTTTTTTTTTTATTTAATAAGTTTAACATCACATCAACATCATAGGTTATTAGCGATTTATAAAAATTTGAAGTTATTATAATTTGATGAAAATCTCGATGCTCTCGCAGAATCTCATTAGGATATCCTCGTAATGATAAATGAAATAGCTTTATTGAGATTATTACCAATGTCCAACTTCCTCCTAATTTTAAATTAGAGCAATATAATTAGAGCAGTCAAGCATGATGTGATTTGTGATAATTCGTATGTTACATTTTTTGCATATTGGTTGGCTTCTATTGAATAGATATAGGTGAGAGAGCTTGGTATATATGCATTATTTCTGATTCACGTTATTACCAATTGCTTCGCTTGAATTTTGGATTCATTTGTAGCTCAAAGAAATTTCTGATAGATTTATGAAGCGGACTTATTTTATATGTTTTCTATATTGCGATCCAGGATTGTTTTAATAATATGTGTTTTTTGATGTCCGAGTATGTATTGTAAATAGATTATATGTTCGAAAAATAACTGTTATTTTTGCTTCAATATCGGCCATTGCATTTCCGTAGATATCATTATGAGATGGAACTCATGCTAGAACTATTATTTTGCTATTTTTCTGATTATTTTGTTGAATAAATCTATGTATATTTCTATCGATTATTTAGTTTTTTAAGTATAGAAGTATCGCAAGGAAATCAGAAAATATGATATATTTGAAGTGATCTAGAAAATCACTATTAATAAATTTGAGGGCTATGAATGTAAATATTTCAACCGAGCGGGCTCTTAAAAGTGTTCAGATTAACTGAAATGTTTTGAGAGAAGAAAACAATTTCGATTTCATATTTTTTATTTTTGGGAAATCAGTGTATATACAGGTAAAAGTAGGATATTTAAGACAAGTTTTTAAATATATTTTTCCAATCTTCATTGGATAATTTTTGTGTTAATCTTTATGTATTACCAATGTTAAATTAATAGAGGATCTTAAGTGTTCAGAGAAGAACTTTATGAATTTTGTGTTTTTCTATGGCAAAAGGATTGTAGTTAATTTCTTCTAAATATTTATTAACTCTTTGATAGAGTATTTCTTGATTTAGATTTCGCTTAAATTAGATTATTTGAGTAAATGTTTGAAAATATAATAAGGTTGGAAGATGTTGTTGCCTTTATTGCGTATTTTAAACTTAATAATTTTCTTCTGTATTATACGGATGGCTCTCCAGCTTCAATTAATATACTTCCAATTAGACTTGTGTGAAACGACTCTGTTGCTATTCTTAGCCTTGTATTATGAATTGGATCTAGGTTTTTTTTAAATTTTTTAAAATTTTAAATTAAATTTTTTTTAAATGGTTTGGCAGAATTGCATAAATGCATAATTTATTTTGATTCGAATAATCGTTTTATAGGTTTAGTAGCTTTATCAGCTCTCAGTTATTATATGTTAGAGATTTGATAATATTTAATCTTCGCTTGCAGTTATCAGCTAAATTGCTAATATATTTATTCCATGTAAGTCTATATCAAAGTATACTCTAAGGATTTTAGTGCATGTAACAAATTTATGTGCATTATTTCCAAGGCCTAGTACGTACTTCATGACGTTTAATGAAAACATTTATGTATTCAGTAGTTTTTTAGTAGAATTTAAAATCCGTCTTCAGATATTAGTTATATACTTATTAAGCATCAATTGAACACTTTGAGAGGTGATAATGTTTTTTTCTTTATGTAGAATTGTGATATCATTAGCAAATATCTTGAGATTACAGAGATTTTACACGAATCATTAATAGCTATTAAAAATGTAATACTAATTACAGATCCTTATAGTATTCCATTTTCGATTTCTGTTTTCCTTGAAAGGGTATCATTAACACGAACATGAATGTTTTTATTGTAAATAAAAATTTTAACGAAATACCATAAGTTTTCAATAATTTCTAGAGTTTTCTGGAATTTGGTTAAAATATGATGTTTCCAAACTAAGTCATAGGCTTTTTCGATATCGAGACTAATGGCAAAGACATGCTATTTATTGTTAAATGTTTCTTATATATAAGTTTCTAAACTAATTAAATGAGATGTACTAGAATGACTACTTCGAAATTCAAATTGGTTGTTAGTAATAATTATGTTATATTATATCTTATATTCGAGGAACCATTTAAGTAGATAGTTCACAATTTTTTCTAATATTTTGCATAGATTATATGTGAGAATAATAGGTTTATAACTTTCAGATTTGGATAAGTGCTTGGATAGGTGCTTGCCAAACTTCAATATTGGTATAACTATGGCTTCATTCCATTCTTTAGAAATTATTTTATTAATTTATATGCAATTACATAAGTCGAATAATATTTTGTATCCAATAATTGTCAATTCTTTAATTAGTTCATTCGGAATATTGTCAAGTTCTGGATTGAAGTAGTATTTCTTAATATTTTCTTGAGTTCCCTTTCTGAAATAGGATTGTTAAGATATAAATGACTGAAATCATTTTCAATCAAAATCACTTTCAATGATTATATTTGCTAAGTTATTTCTTTATATATATATTATATAAAAGTATGGTACAAATGACAGCGATGAGACGATTTTTTATCTGCAAAAATATTTTTCCTAACTTATTTCCATCTTTATTTCTTTCAATATTTCAATAATAAAAATATTAAGTTCAAGATTAAAAAAAAAATTGAAAAAACCATATTATTTGTGGAATAATCTAATATAATTTAATATAATATTTTAACCAAGAATAAAATATTTTATTTTATGAAATTATTATATATTATTAAAATAAAATACTTAATTTTAGATTATAAAAATAAAATATTTTATTTTATAGTTCAGATTATTAAAATATTTATTGTATAAATATGTTATTTATCAAAATTTAAAATATTTCTTTAAAATATTATTTTATTTAAACCAAATAAAAAATATTGAAATATTTATTTTGTCAAATATTATTATGAATTAGTGATCCAATTAATTTTATATATTTCATTTAATTATCGTTTATATATATCATAATATATTATATTATATATGTATAAGTATAATAAAGTGTATTATTTTTGTGTATATATATCCAAATTATGTTTCATTAAATGCCATTTAAATTTGACAATATTTTTTTCTATTTTTAACTATTTAGGAAGATATATAATTTATTTTAACTTAATTATTATGAATTTTTTTGTATAATTATAATGTAATATATTATATTGTATATTACATTGATTTCATTCTAAACGCATCTATTTAAATTTTATTTTATTAACTAAATATAAAAATGAAAATAAATCGATTTTTATATAATATAATATTGTTATAATTCATTACATTAATTCACTATGTAATTGTATATAAAATCCTTGATTAAAACAATAGTGATTTTAAAAAGAAATAAAATATCAAATTAAAATAAAATCAAAATACTTGAAAACAAAATAATTCGACAATTCTTAATATTAATATACTTATAAAATTATATAATTATATATATAATAATATTATATATTTATATAATAATATTCTT